CGAAGAGTCGGTGTCGGCCAGCATGAGGCCAAGGATGCCACACATTTTGCCAATTGGGGAGGACAAGGAAGTCCCGTCTTTCTTGGAGGATGATTTACAGATATGAAAGGGAGAAAGAGGGAGAGCCGGACGGGGTCAACGAGGCAATTTTTGAGGTTCGTCGGGGAGTGCGAGTCGGAGAGTGAGTGAGTGAGTGAGAGTTTGCGACCTGGGCGGACTGGGGAAAAGTGACGACTGGCTCAAGTTCAACAGGCCGACTTCGCGGCGACAACGGGGAAACGGCGGCGGTGGGATGTGAAAATGGAGCTTCTGGTCTCCATCACTCGGGTGGGCCTCGAGCTGGGTGGGTAAATCGACGGCAGGGGACTGGTCTAGGATCGGTGTCCCGCCAAACAATGCTGGAGGGGAAATTTTTTCCTTTGGAGGGGCAAGACCCAGGTGCTGCGGGGCCAATGCAAGGCGCTCTCGGGGGCGCTGTTATCGAGATTCACGTTGTCTTATCCATTGGCCGACTTTCGTGGGGCATGTGGGTTGCCGTCGGCAGCCACTAGTAGCACCACGCCAAAGCACAGGGACGGGGACAGGGGCCAGTTGCACGTGTGTTGTGGGGTTGCGAATTCCAAGCATCCAATGCCTGCCCCCTCCCGACCTTGGGAGCTAAAGGTGACATGTTACGTATTTATTCGCCTGGAATTGATCGAAGGGCATGACGCTGAAGAACCTGGAAGGCAGCCCCCAAACCACGGCATCCCAAAATACTCGTTGCAGTGGGATATCCCAGGTATATCCAGATATGATCTTGACAGACATTCTTGTTTTGGAAACAGATTCAACTATGATTTCAGGCACCATAATCGGTCGAGACGGAAGAATGGAAAGAAGAAAGCGCTAAGCGAATCTTATAAATCTTTCTTCTACAGGGAAAGATTTTACAAAAGAATCCATTTGCAGAATTTACAGGCAGGGCACCAAAACTAGAGCGAGGACACTCAAAGGGCCATGACGAACAAGGCGCCGAAAGCCAACGCAGCCAGGGCCGGGGCCAGTCTCGCCCGCGCAGCGCCAGCCTCGACAACCTTGGGCGTGCTCGTGGCCGCAGCGGGCGCAGTGGCGTTACCGCTGAAGCTGGGCAGGTGGGCGGGCGTTATGGTCAGGGTTGTCGCCACAGGTCCTGCGGGCGTCGTGGTCAGAGTCGTGGCCACAGGTCCTGCGGGCGCAAAGGTCGCGGTTGTGGCCACAGGGCTCGCAGATGCCACAGATGCCACAGGTGCCACAGGCTTGAAGCACTCGGCGCACTTGGTCGGCATGGCAGCGCCGGGGGTGCAGCCAGGGACCTGCATGGGCGCGTTTGTCGGTGCTACCGGCGCGAACGTGACGGTGGCCGCCTCGGTCTTGGTGATGCCGCCCGAGGTGACGGTCCTGGGGATGGTGTAGACGCCGGTGGACTCGGGGCAGATCGCCGTCGTGACGGTGACGATCGCGGTGGTGAGCACGCCGCGGGCGGGGCAGTTGGTCACCTCGGGAGCGCAGGACGAGATGGTGTAGGTCGTCGACGTGGTGTACGTGATGGTGGACTTCGAGATGGTGGGCTCCGAGGTGATGCTGGCCGACGGTGCGGCGGAGGATGATGGTGACCCTGTGCTGGAGACGACAGGGGAGGACGAGGGCAAGCCGACGGTAGCGGATGAGCTGCTGACGGACGCGCTGGACGAGATTGACGAAGAACTGACAGCGGAGGAGCTCACGACAGCGGAGGAGCTGGCAACAGAGGAGCTTGCGACTGACGAGACGACAGCAGAAGAGCTGACGACCGAGGAGCTGACAGCCGACGAGCTGACAACCGACGAGCTGATAACCGACGAGCTGGCAACCGACGAGCTGACAACCGACGAGCTGGCAGCCGACGAGCTGGCAGCCGACGAGCTGGCAACCGATGAACTGACGATAGACGAAGGCGACACTGTGCTGGAGGCGATGCTCGAGGTGATGGTCGACGAGACGACACTCGATGAGACGATAGAGGACGACACCGTGCTGCTGGAGGCGATGCTCGAGGTGATGGTCGACGAGATGACGCTCGATGAGACGATAGACGACGACACCGTGCTGCTGGAGGCGATGCTCGAGGTGATGGTCGACGAGATGACGCTCGATGAGACGATAGACGACGACACCGTGCTGCTGGATGCCGTGCTGGATGCCGTGCTGGAGGCCGTGGACGAGGACGACGACGAAGTAGGCGTGGTCACAGCGCAGCCCGACACGGACGGGACAGCGTTGACACCCTTTCCAATCGCAACCAGCTCTGTGCCGCAGTCGTCAGACTGGCCGAGATGGATGTTCCGGTTGTCCCAGTCGTAGACCACAAACGCAGACCGGAGGAAGGTGTCGCCCAGGACGGCAAAGTCTCCCGCAATGGCACCAAGGTAGCACAGGTTGCTATCCGGGTAGTGCCAGATGAAGTCATAGTACGGGACGCTGATGACGGTGCCGGCAAAGGTGAAGTCGACCGAGCCGCCCTGGCCGGGTGTCAAGCAGTCGATCGAGTAGACAGGCGAGCCCGAAACCGCCTTTGCGGACGGGAATGCGGCCAGGAGCGGGTCAAAGATGGCCTTGGGGAGGGTGATGAGCGTGGCGCCGCTGTCGAGAAGCACCGTCCGGCCCTGCCCGGCCCCCGGTGCCGTATAAACGCTGACGGCTTTTCCGCCGGGCTGGTTGACCGAGATGGCGTCCAAAAGGACGTAAAATCTGGTGTAGCCGTCGGGCGACTGTGAAGCCGGGACGATGGGGAGCTTGACGAGGTTGCCCGAGTACTTCTTGATGTCAATGCCACCGAAGATGACGGATCCTGCATGGTTGGAGCATCGCGAGCCGGTCAGCACAAGGGACCACTAACTAACCGACAGCCAGCGAAACTCACCGGTTGTGCTCTCCAGACCCCTCAGATCCAAGCTGAAGGCGCGGCTGTTGGTGAAGCCCTGCGACGCCAGAGAGTCGATGACTCCCGGATAGGGGCTGGTCCATCCGCCCAGCTCGGGCCCAGTGCCCATAATGCCAAACATGGCGTCGTCGGTGTCATAGGCGACGCCAAAGATCTGCTGCGTGATCCTGACCGCCCCGAGTCCGACGTAGTCCATCACGTACTCGAAGTCGACATGGCCCGTCCCGTACTGCACGCCGCCCTGCACCCCCAGGTCCACCAGGGTGGTCGACGAGGTAAAGCGTGGCTGGGCAGCGCAATAGGCCGGGTCGTCCGAGGTGGAACAGACGGGGTTGACCCAGAGCTCAAACGAGCCTGTGTCGAAGATGACGGGCACACTCTGGCCTGGCGTGCCCAGGTTCACGTTGATGGTGTAGAGCAGACCCGAGAGCCGGCTGAACGAGTCCACGCTCGCCTCCCGCTTGTTGTTCTTCTGGAGGAACGGAATGCCCTGCCTGGTCGTGACGGGATACCGCAGAAGGCCGTCCTGCTGCGTCACGTTGGCCTCGTCATCCCGCGGAGCAACGGGGGAGCCCAGGGCCAGAGCAGCCAGCGGAAGAACCGCGGCCGCGAGAGGAAAGAGTGTCGGTCCCATGATGGGTGAGTGGGTTTAAAGAGTGGCAGGCCTACAAAAGAGGCCGAGGAATGGTCGCAAAAAACGAGTGGATGACAGGAACAAACGAGTATCCCGTCGCATCAAGAGCTGCAAGACGACCGGAAGAGTCTTCTCGATGTGCTCCCGCGACTGCTGCCCGGCGGAGGTATATACACCACGGCACTACCAGCCAGAACCGCGGCTCGGCTGCCCACTCATCTCCTTTCCTGCTCCCCAAGCCCAGCCCCTGAACACGTCAAAGGCAAACAGGCTCGACCGAGCCAGGGGCTCGACGATCTTGCGGGCCAGCCCATGTCAACCACCCAATCACCACGGCCGATAATGCTTGGCCTGTGGAGTTGAACCTGGTTTGCGAAGCCAGCCGCACCGTGCCAACTTTGCCAAGATCCCAAAAGACAGAGGGCCAAAGCTTTTCCTAATCTCGTTTTCCTATGCGTTTTCAATAGCTCGATTCTAATGAAATCAGCCAGTAGTCTCCAACGGGTCTCCAACGGCTGACCTCAGCCCATCGCCCTTGTCAAAACGTCATATTATCTGATGGCATCACGAACTCTCGGGGCTGAGAATGATGTTGCGGCGTTGAAGTTGACGGCAAGACTGGCGGTTTGCGTGCCACGAGTCATGTCATTGAGGCAATAATAATATTGCCTTTTTTCTAAACATTTAGATGAGCTCACAACCACTAATACCATTCTATTCGTATGCTTCCTGCCACAGCTGTACACTACCAGGTAATTACCGCGTCCAAAGAAGATATGGCAACCTAGGTAAGCAAACGTTCTCACCTTTCAGGCAAATAATTAACCTGGACCTGCAATTAGCAAGTACTCGACGCAGCATGAACGGAACATAATCAATTAGTCGTCATAAAAGTCATTGAGATTGCCAGGGTCATTCTAGTCAGCTCTGCATCATTGCATTGTGTTTGTCATTTGCCGACGCAATCGATGCACTTGAATCCAAATAAGCAGTGATAGCATGATCACCTGGAAAGTTTCCTTTGATTCCAGATCATGACTTAGGTTGTATAACAGGACTATCAAGTGCCGCCGACCACATAGTTTACAGCAAGGCAATTGAAACATACAGCTCAATGGAAAAACTGGGCGGCACCTTGCTAACTTACCGGCAGGTCTCACATGAAATTGACCACAGATAATTAATCTCAACACTGCTACCTACAAATCATGCAGCTAAACAAAAACCCAATCAATCACAAACAGAAATCAAGCCTGCCCGATTAAAAAAGAAAGGAGCCTCACAAAGTGTGCAAGCCGTTCTTTAAACTTTTTGGACTTTGGTGTCAATAATAAAGTGGAGTCGGACGGATCCAGCTCTGCCTGCCTGTTTGCCTGCCCCTTACTTGTAAGGGGGGGAGTGGAACAGACCCTAAGGAACATCTTCGGGTATATGGTCTAGTGGTATGATTTCTGTTTTGCAATGCCTTGTCCGCATTCCAATCTCTACAGACGGTCCCGCGTTCGATCCGCGGTATATCCAAAGTTTCCTTTCCTTTTTTTTCTTTTCCAAATCTTTTGCATTTATGGTTTTTCAAATCATGGCGGACTGTCGCTGGTTGATGTAACAAATTTTTCCTTGTTACATACAACATTGCTTTTTCCCATTCATTCCCTCCCCATCGAGCGTTTTAACAATACACCATAGGACCTCACCTAATCAGGCATCAGACGAACGAACGCCGTGCACTCGTTCTATTTGGCTTCCAAGATGTCTGTTGACTCGGCGTTGAAGTGAGAGCATATCGGCGAATACGAACACCATGTTTCCTTGGCTGCAACTGAGACTTGAGCGACATTCAAAATTGACACCGCGGGAATGTTTTATTTCCCTCCAAGTGGTCGTTAATTACCTGTTAGTAAGTAGCACACATTGCTGTCGCAGAATGCATTTTCCAGATCGGGTGTAGAATACCGCCCGCGCGGTCGGCTCTCTTGGCTCATCATGGCTTTTTGATCATTATTTCTGGCAAGTTTTTGGGCAGGCAGATCACGTATTAAGTCCAAGTACCTGGTAGGTATCGCTGTAAACTTGAACAAGGACTAATAATCACAGACTCTCATGATGGATGGCCACATACCTGACTTGCGGTAGAAAGAATCAAATATATCAGGTACTCACGACTAAGACAAGTCGGTTCTTACTTAGCCTGATGCATCTTGCCGCGCGTCGTGATGAAGCAGCGCTGGCTAACGACTCGGCCATCCGATTGGAGAGACCGAAGATCATGAGCAACTGAATAATGATAAATAGATCGTAAAACACACTCTTCAATCAGGCGAAATTCAGTTCTCGTCCAGCACAGAGCGCAGATGATCGAACTCATGAAGCGCTCCATTTAAACCGGTAACTAATCACGTCTGAGCCTAGGTCCCCAACTCAAAGCAGCCAAGATCATGTTCCCTCCAGACGGTTTTCCCATTTCAATCCAGAATTCAGCGTCAGGGTAGGTAGGCACAACACCAAATCAAAAATCCAAGACCTTGCCTGCTAACGAAACGATATGATACGACTCGACATGCCATGCGATCTCACCGACAATCCCAGAGGAATCCCCTGGCCCAGCAAGAGCTCGACTCAACAAGACAAGCAGCCAGCCAGCCCAGTCCATCCACGCCTACACTTAAAAACAGACAAGACAAGACCCGTGGCACGCCCAGTCCAAGTCACCCAAAAACAAGCTCGGCTACACTTCGACTAGATGCGTTTCAGACCAGAAGCAGAGGTCCACGTGTAGTAATTAACACAAACCACAACTATGTATAGGTATAGGTTAGGTACCTGTACTCACCACACCCCGCACCCACCCACTGTCCATCATGCTGATTCCTCCTCTTTTCCACTCGGCCCCTCATCCGAGTCTCCAAGCTCTATGATCTTGACCAATGTGGATGCGGAAGGAAAAGGTCCTAAAAAACGCAACACCTCTCTCCAAGTCAATCCAGCTCGCCGTTCACATGCAACCAACCAGCCATCAACAACCCAAGACCGTTCGTTGACCATGGTGAAGTCTTATCTATCCTCTGCCCCTGCCCTGCCTCCTGTTCATCTCTTAATTCAAATGATAAAACCCTCATCACCCGCCAGTAAAGGAAGTTGAAAACCGAAAAGAAAGAAAAAGAAAACCAGAGCCATAGCCAGGAGACGCCAGATCGCAGGTAAGCCTAAAGAATAACAACGACGACGACGACGACGACGACAATACCCAGCCGCTGCAATCAAAAAATCGAAATGAGAAAGAGGGAACAAAGCCAATCAGACAAGCTCCGCAAGGGCCTTGTTCTGGTTATTTTCCAGCGCCTTGACAAAAGTCTCATAGGGCGTCAGTGTTCCCAGCGCGCGGCGCATATGGGCGTTAACAATCTGCAGGCCGTAGATGTAGCTGGCATTGACCCAGCCAAATCTGTGATCACGCACCAAACCGGTCAGTATTCATCCCTCTCAAAACATTAAAACGAAAGCAGGAAAAGAAAAAAACTCACCCCTCCCTAGCAACACCCTTGAAGTCCAGCCCCTGGTTGCCATACTCGGCATCGACGCGATGCGGATCAATCGGCCTCGTCACATCGTACTTCTCCACCACCACGCCGTTGAAGTCCACAAACGCCTTGGTGATCATGAAGAGCCACTTATACGCCAGCCGTTCCGCCTCCTCGGTGAAACTATACCGATACAGGCCGGTCCACGCCAGCATCTGCTGCGGTGCCCATCCGTAGGGATAATCCCATTGCCGGTTGGGTCGCTCAAGGCCGATCTCACCACGGCTCTCTTCGGATCCGGAGAGCAACCCACCCACTGCCTCCAGCTTCGGCAGCGCCTTGGTCACCATGGCGGCGGCTTGCTTCGGGCTGCTCACTCCTGCCCAAAGGGCCCAGAAGGTGGTTGCGCTCACGTACGTGCACTGCTCGCGCTTGGCTGTGTTATAGTCAAAGTACATGCCCTCCTTCTCGTTCCAGAGGTACTTATCGATAGCCAGCTTCCGGCGCTTGGACCGGCGGTCCCAGATGGCCGACGTCTCGACTTGGCCAGGCACTAGGCTGCCAACACAGTACTCCTCGGGAATGACAAGCTTGTCGTGGAAGACGTTGCGGATTGTGCGCGCAATATCGGTTTCGTATTTGAAAAGCAGCGAGTTGAGGTCGATGGTGGCAAGGTCGGCGCAGACGCCCTCGAAACGGTAAGTCGTGTCGTGACCTGACTCTCGGACAGCTCGATCGTGCATGAAGTAGTCGTCAAGTTCAGGCTCTTCGATGTCGCCGTGGTTGTAGGCGTGGGCAAACTCGTCAAAGGTCATTCCCCGCTTCTGGACGTAGGGCTCCAGGATGTGAACGAAGTGGCCGGCCTCTGTCTCAGGGGGAATACCGCGGCCTTCGGGGCGGTACCTGGAGAGACCCGTTACGGGGTCGAGCCGGGGCTCGGCCATCCAGACGCTATGGTACTCCTTGATCGCGGCAAGAATGGCAACGCGGAGGAATTCCAGCGCACCCGGCTCGTGCTTGATCTTGTCGTAGACGCGCAGAGCCATGTCGGTCAGAAAGGGAGGCTGTGACCGACAGAGGTAGTAGGAGCGAGTTGCGTTGAGGATCTTGCCGTAGTGCTTGATGCAGAAGCAAAAGTTGAGCACCATCGACTTGGCGAGGTCAACCTTATCGTTGACCAACAAGCCGAGCGACTCCATATAGCTGTCCCATCCATACAACTCGTTGAACCGTCCTCCTGGTACGACAAAGGGGCGGCCTCTCAGAGATGTCTCTCCGGTTTCGGGGTCCACCACTTCCTCCATGTCGACAGCCAGGAGGCCAGGCTTGGCGTTCATGTCCCGCACGATCTCGGGGGTAATCTTCTCGGGCAGGAGCTGGACGTCCAAGCGGATCTCGGGCTTGTCCTGGGCCAGCTTGGTGTAGTACTCGAACTGTTCGGGGGCGCCTCGCGGAATGTAAATGCGGGGCCGCGGGTCGTCGGTCCAGTCCTTGGGGTCCCGCGCAGCAATCTCAATGCTGGATGCATCGATCCGTCGTGTCAGGCCCTCCCAGAAGTGGTCCTTGATCATGCGAGACAGCCGGTTGACGGGGTTCTCGTTCAGCCTCGCCTCGTCCAGGATGATCTGCTTACGGCCATATTCCTTGGCGAGCGACAGCTCCTGCAACAGGTTGGACAGCATGTAGGTGCCGCGGATATCGAATCGGTTGTGCCCGTTGGAGGCTGCCGTGCGGAGCGATAAGACCTAGTTGCGCCATGTCAGCTTGGGAGGGCCAAGCCACCATTTTTCAGCTGCGATGCTCTGCTGACCTTGGGCCCGTTATCCTCGATTGTGATTTGCATGTTTCCGTCCGTGTCCTCTTGGGATTGCAGACTCTGGAGTGTCGGCTCGACCTGGACGAGGAAGCGACGGGAGTGAGGAATGGTCGACTCGTCTGCAACAACAAGGACGCTGGTTAGCATGATACGATAGCCCGCGGACATGGACTTGAACTAGGTTGCATGGTGCTCACCGTGACTTCCACGCCGATATGGCTCCTTCAGCCCCATCCGCTCCATTTGCTTGATCAGACTGTTCTGTTATGGGCCATCTGGTCAGCAATTGACCGGCGGCAAGCGTGCGACGGAGAGGTCAGGTCGGCGGTGTCGTACCTGGGAGTAGGTGCGGGTTCGAGGCCCGGCACGGTTGTGGATGTGACGCTCGTCGGCATAGTAGGTTTTGGCATCGTCAAAAACACCAGAGTCGTCGACAGAGCCGCGGCTCCGTGGCTGGGCTGGTGGGCCCGGTGTCGCCGCCGGAGTAGTCATGACGGTTGCTGGATGTTGTGTTTGCTGAGGTATCGTGTGGTGTGTTGTTGTGTTGTGTGTGTAGCTTCAGGTTCTCGACAGGCCAATACGATTAGATAGGTGCGGTACGGATAAGGCGAGATGGAGGGGATGACGGGAGGGGATGGCGGGGTTGATCGGTCCCCTTCCAAAGCTGCCGTCGGGTGGTCAGGTACCTGGAGTGACCTTGGGCGCGTGCAGCTACAGTAGGTGCCCGGCGGGATTTGGGTTCGGCGGGGATATCGGACAACTTCAGGGAGCTCTTCACCTCGTCAAAACAATAACAAAAACGATTGGTGATGGGTTTTCTTCACGTCGGTGAGAAACCAAGAGGAGGAGAAGCGTGTCGTTCCCAGAAAAATCAAACGAGGGGCGCAAAGGGAAAGAGGCGAAAACAATGCTCTAAGGCGACGGATAGGGTTGTCTTGTATTTATGGCTGGGTTCGGAGATACCTAGGTGGGTTGGGTGGAGGGCGCGGAAGACGACAGGACAGCTCCCGACAGGGGGGGTGGTCGCTGTCGCAGGGGTGCCCGCACCCGCTAGATGCCTTCCAGGTTCCGCAGCTCTGCTGCTTGCTGGGTGTGAGCTTGGGAAATTGAGAGTGGCAGCGAGATGCGGTCACGCGGGCCCATAAAAACCGAGGACCGCCAACCCTAGAAGCGGGATTCGGGGCTCA